GACCAGGTCGGGGTCGATCATTGGTGCTTCCAGTCTCCTGCTAACGAGACACAAGGTTAGAGATTGTGGGTTGGCTTACCCCAAAACGCAGGGCGAAGCGATTTTGGGATGTTCCAGCCATCCACAGCCCAATGGCTTGATCACGTTGGGGTCTGGAAAGGCGAGGCATGGTGCACCTAATGTCTTTGAACAAATGCTCTCAGGTTCTGGCCTTAGGAGCCATTGTCTGTAAGGTTCAGGCAGGTGGTGATAGTCACCTTCTTCAATTTTGCTGAAACTTTGGTGGTTTTATGTCCCTACCCTAACTAGAAAATTCTCCAAATTTTTTGGCCCTACTTGCACCGGTTTGAGTTTTAGGGGTCAATCAAGTGCAAGCCAAAATAGGGCCTAAAATGCCAAATTACCGAAATTTTATTTTTGGGCTGCTCTTATTCACTGAGTGAACTTTATCCCAAAGTAAAAGTTGGAAAATTGAATTATAGGGGGATGGTCAGTGGAAAGAGCGATTCTCGCCTGGGATCTTCTTCGCGCAACATGTAGGGGGCGCTCCAATATGACTGCAATCTATTTTCATCACTAGTTTGCACCCCTTATACTCTGTGCGCGATCAGTGCCCCAGAACTTTTACAGCTGCACGACACTGGTATGTAGTTAGACTATCTATTAGAGGTGAGAAAAAGTTGGGATAGTGTATGTGCACACCGACAGGTGGCGCCAAACATGGCAAAATGGTAAAATTTGGCGCATTTCAGTGCCACCTGGTGGCGTGCGCAGTCGATTGGCAGGGCAAAGGTTTGTTGCATAATGAAGTATAGAGGTCACCCTTTTAGTTTATGAAAGCCATTTCTTAGGATACGGACTACTGTCCGTAATAGGTGGCGCTTTACTAACAGATATACTGGTACACCCGTAAAGCAATATCAACTCAAAATTGCTCATGATTGGTCCAGCTGAAATGCGCAGTGAAAATCCCAAGGAAATACTTTTGTATGAGATGTCCTTCACCCTTAAACTTGCAGTTATTGCAAATATCGAGCTATTAAATTTTGGATATCGCCCAAGCCTAGTCTGCATGCAAGCCTATCCACATGTATAAAATGGGCCTGTAACTACAACCCCAATTCCGAAATAGTTGGGACAAAGTGTAAATTGTGAATAAAATCAAAACACAATGACTTTCAAATCACACCAGCCAGTATTTTATTCACAATTAAACAGAGATAACATGGCAAATGCTGAAACTGAGAAATTTTACAATTTTATCCACAAAATGAGCTCATTTCAAATTTGATGGCTACTACAGATCTGAAAAAAGTTGGGACAGGGGCCTGTTTACCATGGTGTAGCATCCCCTCTTCCTTTTAACACAGAGTGGAGGTGTCTGGGCATTGAGGAGACAAGTTTCTTGAGTTTAGCCATTGGAATTTGATCCCACTCTTGTTTAATACAGGCAACCAGCTGCTGGAGAGTTTTGGGTCTCCTTTGACGGACTTTTTGTTTGAGAACATTTGGCGCATAATTAATCGGTGAAAGATCAGGACTGCAGGCAGGTCAGTTCAGCACACGGACTCTTCTACTACGAAGCCATGCTGTTGCAATAGCTGCAGTATGTGGTTTTGCATTGTGCTGCTGAAATACACAAGGCCTTCCCTAGATGTCGTCTGGAGGGGAGCATATGTTGCTCTAAAACCTTTATATACTTTTCAGCATTCATGGTGCTTTTTAAAACAAGCAAGTGTCCCACAGCATATGCACTAATGCATCCCCATACCATCAGAGATGCTGGCTTTTGAACTGAACGCTGATAACAGGAGGGGTGGTCTTTCTCCTCTTTAGCCTGGAAGACACGATGCCCATGATTTCCAACAATGTCAAATTTGGACTCGTCTGACCACAGGACACTTTGCCACTTGCTACAGTCCATTTTAAATGAGCCTTGGCCCACAGAACACGGCAGCGCTTCTGGATCATGCTCAACAAAGGCTTCCTTTTTGCATGATAGAGTTTTAGGTGGCATCTGTGGATGGCACGGCGGACTGTGTTCACAGACAGTGGTTTCTTGAAGTATTCCTGGGCCCATTTAGTAATGTCAATGATAGAATCATGCCGGTGAGTGATGCAGTGGCGTCTGAGGGCCCGAAGATCACGGGCATCCAGTAAAGGTCTTCAGCCTTGTCCCTTACTTACGCACAGAGATTTTTCCAGTTTCTCTGAATCCTTTGATGATGTTATGCACCGTCGATCATGAGACCTTCAAAGCCTTTGCAATTTGACGTTGAGGAACATTGTTTCTAAAATATTCCACAATTTTTTTTACACAAGCCTTCACAGGTTGGAGAGTGTCTGGCCATCTTTACTTCTGAGAGACTCAGCCTCTCTAAGACGTCCGTTTTATAGCCAATCATGTTACACAGCTGATGCCAGTTAACTTAATTACTTGCTAAATGTTCTTTCAGCTGATTCTCTTACATATTAATTGCTTTTTCAGCCCTTTTTTGCCTGTGTCCCAACTTTTTGGAGACCTGTTGCAGCCAGAAAATTTCAAATAAGCTCATTTTGTGGATAAAATGTAAAATGTCTGTGTCAACATTTGAAATGTTATCCATGTTCTATTGTAAATAACATATTGGCTCGTGATCTGAAAGTCATTGCATTTTGATTTTATTCACAATTTACACTTTGTCCCAACTATTTTGGAATTGGGGTTGTGTACAAGAAGTTATTTTGTGAAAAAAAAAAGCCAGTTTCTTATACATTGGGAATGTTTGTATATTCATCCAAACCAGTTCTGGCATTTAAAGGGTGTTCACATACGTGGATGATTCTGGATTAAACCTCAGATTGAAAAAGTGGCTTTTCAAGAGTCTGAAAAAATGGAGTAAACAGGAAGTACTAGTGGTGCCCTCAATCAATAATTGATGTAACTAATTAAACCACACATGCCAGAGATGATAGAAAAATCAATTATCATTACCTGAAATAAGGTCAAGTCCATCACGAGGCCTGTTCTACTGGGACACACCATCGAAATGCACCTATATCAGCTCATTGACATGCGCAAAGAATGTCCCATGATTTTTGTCATTGGAATTTCATTGATAAAGGCTAAGGACATGATTCATGAAAACATATCCTTGGGATAGTGGCTGCGCATTTCATAACTTGACCAATCATGAGCAATTTTGAGCGGATATTGCTTTACACGTGTACCAGTACATCTGTTAGTAAAGTGCCACCTGTTATGGACAGTAGTCCTTATCCCAAGAAATGGCTTTCATAAACTAAAAGGGTGATCTCCATACTTCATTATGCAACAAACCTTTGCTCTGGTGGTCGACCGCGCACACCACCAGGTGGTGCTGAAATACGTCAAATTTACCATTTCGCCATGTTTGGTGCCACTTATTGGTGTGCGCATACACTATCCCAACTTTTTCTCACCTATAATGGATAGTCTAACTACATACCAATGCGTTGCAGTTATAAAAGTTCTGGGGCACCGATCGCGCGCAGAGTATAAGCGGTGCAAACTAGTGATGAAAATGGATTGCGGCCATATTGGAGCGCTCCCTATATGTTGCGCGAAGAAGATCCCAGGCCGAAAATCGCTCATTCCACTGACCATCCCCCCCTATAATTCATTTTACCAACTTATACTTTGGGATAAAGTTCGCGCAGTGAATAATAGCAACCCAAAAATCAAATTTTGATAATTTGGCAGTTTAGGCCCTATTTCAGCTTGCACTTGATTGACCCTTAAAACCAAAACCGGTGCAGGTAGGGCCAAAAAAATTTGGAGAATTTTCTAGTTAGAGTAGGGACATAAAACCACCAAAGTTTCAGCAAAATTGAAGAAGGTGACCATCACCATCTGCCTAAACTTTACAGACAATGGCTCTTAGTGACCTCAAGGATTGTTTTAAGGCATTTGACAGCATTGAAATTGTGATCGGTGAAGCCAGACAAGGTTACATCACCAATTCCTCAAATCCTGCTCCACAGACACAAACAAGGTCATGACCTCACGCAATGTTGTGTCTCCTTACTCAAAGACAAACGCATATCAATTATGTAATCATCTAATTAAAGTTCCCCTAACCCAACAATACTATTTCTGTCTAGTCAGACTTAAGTTTTTAAAGTCCATCAGAATATATTCACTACAATCCCCAAGTAAAAGTTTTTACAGTACTTCTTTTTTTGAAAAAGAGCACTGTCCATTTTATTGTAACTTACTTGTTACCCATAACATTAAGGCTTTCTCCCAATACCCCACCAAAACCCTGCAGTCTCCTCAAAGTGCGTACTTGCGTGATGGTCAAGAAGTGTGGACTGAAAGTGTAGACTTCTACTGGGATGAATGACAATTTTCAGAGCAGAAGTGGGTCAAACCTCCATAGGTCTCCCTCGCGACTCGTGATTGAAAGGTATTGCTTGTTCTTTAGACTGCTGGAATCACTTAAATTGTCACAGTAACACTGAATTTATGGGAAAGTCTTCAGCAAAGTGCGGTCTGATGAAGACTTGCAGGAGGTAAGCATCACGGGTGCATTGGGGCCCTCCTGGGAGCCCCTGGGGAACAACAGTAGAAAAGTGGGACCCCCTGCAGTCTTGCACACCTGTGCAGGTATGCACACGCGATGGGCACAGTGACGTGAATACGAGATTTGGACAGGGCCAAAATCAGCTGTACCCTGCGATTCCTTCCAGTCCCACCCACTTTAATTCCACGAGATCAGGGGTTTGCAGCTTGGGTGAGGGCAGCCAAAGGGCACATCAGAAGTCACTGGAAAAGGATTTTGGATTGCAGACGAATGTTGTGGGAAGAGGGGGAAGGGGAAAAGAAAATGAAAGGGAAAAGGGAATTGAAAATGAGTGACGAAGAGCCATTTGTAGTTGGAGTTAAACCGATTGGAGCAAGTTGGGAAACATTTTTTTAGTGACAAAATGTCTGAAAAATTGGGAAGAAAGATTCATTTTTTTCTTTCATTCCATTGGGCGGCATGGTGGCGCAGTGGTTAGCATTGCCTCACAGCAAGAAGGTTGTGGGTTCGAATCCGGCCGGTGGCCTTTCTGTGTGGAGTTTGCATGTTCTCCCCGTGCTCGCGTGGGTTTTCTCTGGGTACTCCGGTTTCCTCCCACAGTCCAAAGACATGCATGTTAGGTTAATTGGAAACACTAAATTGCCCATAGGTATGAGTGTGAGAGTGAATGGTCTGTGAATGGTGTGTGCGCCCTGCGATGGATTGGCAAGCTGTCCAGGGTGGGTCCCTGCCTTTGCCCGTAGTCAGCTGGGATAGGCTCCCGCTCGCGCCGCGACCCTAGTGAGGAATAAGCGGGTATAGAAAATGAATGAATGAATGAAAGGGAAGAAAGAAATTGGAGATATAAAGGCAGTGAGGGTGTCGCAAAGTGGAATTGTGCTTGTGGAATTCAAAACAAGGAAACAAATAGAAAAAGCACCAAAAATAAAAGAGTTTGGTAATGTACGGGTGACGTTTTCCACTAAAACGCCAAGCGACAGTTAAGGGGGTTAATTAGAGGGGCTTCATTTTCAGTGGATCCAGATGATTTTTTGGAGGTGGAGGGAGTTTGTGGCGCTCGGTGATTGAAAAGCTACTGAGACGGAAATAAGCAAGACAGTATGGCGGCGCTACAGGAGTCTGAAAAGGAGTTGTCTGAAAGGATTTTAATTGATAATATTATTTTATTTATTATTTGAATTGATATATTATAAATACATAGAATGATCAGAATTTGGAAACAAATAAATACATAAGCTCCAGAGTGTGGACATTTGAAAGGGCTCCCCTTCGTTGCCTCTGGTGTCAAGAGTATGGCCATGTTGCAGCAGTTCGTAAGAATGAGTGTTATTGATGTTGAAGGTGTGGGAAAGAGGGATGTACAGAAGAGAACTGAGACCTAACAAAAGAGACGGCTGCATGTTGTCACTGTGGGAGAAATCATGAAGCGGGGGCAAAGCAATGTGAACAGAGGAAATTAGGAAGTGAGGTTGAGCAGACAATGGCTCAGAATAAAAGGTCATTCGCGGAGGCCATAAAGAATGTCAGCCTAGAAAAGAGATCTGCGAGGAAAGAGCTAAACACAATTGAAATGAAGGGGAAAGAACACTGAGGACTGGACAAACAGGCTGAGTATAGACAAAAGAAGGTTTTTAGCAATCATCACGATGGTGATCAATGGTGCAAGCAAAACTGAGACAAAGACAGGATAAGGATGGTGATACACACAGCCAAACAGATCTTCAAAATAACTGAAGTGAAGGGGGAGGAAATTCAAGGAATTTTGGAGAAAAAGTTTGATGGGAATTAAACAGCGAGTTTAGATTATATAAGTGTAAATCATTTTCATCAAGGATTGTGGGTTGAGGCGAGGGGAGAGAATTTAGATTTTTCTTCTGCCAATCTTCCGGTCAACACTCCAGTCCAGTAGGTGGCGGAATACTTTTAAAACATGATAGATAAGCAGCAGAAGACGTAAAAAGAAGCGGCGCCAGATTTGAAAGATAGTGACCGGAGTTCGTTTTTTTCCGAAACAAAAGCAGGGTAAGGTATGGTAATCGTTTATTTTCGCTATATAATGCAAAAAAACAAACGCGATATTCATCATATCCAGCTAAATTAACGTTCCTTTGCGCAGCTGTCAAGTTGCATTAAGCGGTGCGTGGATAAGTAGTAATATGCTGAACGAGTGGCTAGGATGGTCAAGTCATAGAGCTATAAATATAGATGTTATTTATCGCTCTGTTGATCAAGTAGTCGATGGTGGTGACCTAACGTTAGCTAACTAGCTAGACTCAGTAATGTTAATTTGAATTCGGCGACCAAGTGCACACAATGGCATGGCGATGACTGATAAATTGCTCAAATAACTTTTTTAGCCTCATCTAAACTGGTGCGCGTTTCCCAAAACCGTAGTTGCCAACTAAGTTAGCAACTTACATAATTCGTCCATTCACAGTCAATGGGTCCAACTATGTAGGTTAGCATCTGTGATTTCGGGAAACGCACCCCTGGTTAGTGACGTTGACGTTGAGTCGTTAATTTAGGAGTCAACCTTAACAGCCTGCCAAAGAAAACGGCCAAGCTGGAACAAAAGTTTGTCAGATATCTACTTTTTTTAAAAACCAGCAACTCAAAATCGAAAACTTGCCACATTCTCGATAAACTTCGCATCACAACACTGAAGTTGACACATTTTTAGCAGAACCAAACTTAAAAAAAAAATCGCACAGCCTGTAACAAACCCAGAGACGAACCAAATGAGTTTTCAATGAGGTCGTTGCAAGTTACGTAGGTGGTCACATGATCCCCGAAGCAAAATGTACACAGAGGTTGATCGCAGCATAGTGAAAATGGTGAAATCTTGTGCTGCTGTTGCTTGCACCAATAATAATGCCATTCAGTCGTCTGGAAAATACGGCAAAATAAGTTTCCATCAATTTCCACAAAATAATGAAGCCCTTTTGGAAGATTGGCTTGTTACATTAAGAAGAATTGACTGTGGAAAGCCTTACAAACCAACAAAACATTCAGTCCTTTGCTCAGAGCAGTTTGAGAAAAGCTGCTTCACCAGAAGTTCACAAGTAAGTCAACGGTTTTGTTGCAATGAAAACTGGTTTTAAAGTGAAGATATAGAGAAATTAGTGGAAAATACTTACTCAATACAAATATTAACCTTAAGCCTGAACGCCCCTGTAAGGGGGGCAATGAATTTACATAATAAATACAGCATGTTTCCTAATAGCAACCTGGTCATGCAGCATCCTCTTAAAGCGAAGAAACTCGGCGAAAAGTTTGTGATGACCGTTTTTACCTAAACGGAACACAATTCAAGTACCAAGCAAGTAAATAAGCATCTAGCAAAACATAAAATAAAATAAGATTAAATAATCAGTGCTCTATCGCAAGCATTTCTACTGAATTGGTGACATGCATACAAACGATACCTCAAATGAAAAAGAACAGTCCACAGATTCCAACGATATAAGCCTTGTCATTTTAAATTGACACTACACTCAAAGAACAGCAGGCATACACTTTAAATACTACAGAGATGAGCAAAAAATTTTCTTACCTTTGATATTTTGTCATAAAAGCTGTTTGTGGGTAAATCTGCGCTTGCTATTGTTTTAGCCAGTCTATCTAGGGGCCTCTCACCATTATGCTATGCACTGGGAGACCTCAGCAGTGTAATCACTTAAGTGTTTTTTTTTTGTATTTTCGCTATAATTAACCGCTAAATATTCAACTGTTGTTTTCAAAGCCAGTTTATGACTGAGAATCCTTGCGCCAATATGCTCAAGTTCAAACACAGCACAGCTATACAAGTGCTAAATCGACTAGTGACTATATAGTCTGTTGAGCTAGTGTCGTGGATAAGGCGGAGCATTTGGACCTGAGGTTCAATATCTGGTTATACATGCGACATTTCAGAGCAAGGAAATACATTTTTTTGTATAAATAAATAATTAAGTTACTTCGGGGATCACGTGACTTACGCTACGATTTCTGCATCCAGTGCAACGCCTCCATTGTGTGTGGCTGGTCCTTTGAAAAAAAAGGTAGACATCTTGGCTGTTTTCTTTGGTAGGCCTGCTTAACGCAAGTCAAATGCTGTATTCGACTGGTAGTTGCCGAGAAGTAAGGGACAGATTGTTGATGTAAGCAAGTCTACCAGACGAATTGGGCTTTAAGATCAAGACAGTGGTGTTCCTAGAACGGAGGAACCTCCCAAGAAAGAGGAGGGAGAGAAAGCATGTCGTGCCGTAATAAGAACAAGAAGCAAAGAAAAAGGGAATGATTTGTGTATTTTTCCTGATTTGCTCAGGTCTCGGAAATACCTAATGCAATTAACGCACGTTATTGCGCATCATAAAATTACATTCACTTTGGAAGATCTTTTGAAGCAGCACAATCACCAAACCAGAATACAGGTACTTGCCTTTATTTTCTTCCCCATACGACCCACGATACCATCCAAAAACTGAATACGTGACACTCAAATTACCTGACAACTTGGGTAGCAATTTACCTTTCATGCGCTTTCGCAATGTTGTCTGTTACTTCACGAACTCCACGCAAGTTTCTCGCTGGTGAGTAAAGTAATCACATTTCTGTGCTTCCGATACCAGTCGAATAATTCAGAAACATTAACAGAAAATTATTACTTCGTGAGAGCACCAGTCGAATGCGGCCAATGACATTAATTGGTCTCGACAAATTACCGAATTTGAGTTTTTTTTTTTTTTTTTTACAACCCCAATTCCGAAATAGTTTGGACGAATGTAAATTGTGAATAAAATCAAAATGCAATGACTTCCAGATCACATGAACCAATATATTATTTACAATAGAATATAGATAACATTTCAAATGTTGAAACTGAGTCATTTTACATTTTTATCCTCAAAATGAGCTTATTTCAAATTTTCTGGCTGCAACATGTCTCAAACGTTGGGACACAGGCAAAAAAGGGCTGAAAAAGCAATTAATATGTAAGAGAATCAGCTGAAAGAACATTTAGCAAGTAATTAAGTTAACTGGCATCAGGTGTGTAACATGATTGGCTATAAAAGGGATGTCTTAGAGAGGCTGAGTCTCTCAGAAGTAAAGATGGCCAGAGGCTCTCCAACCTGTGAGGGTTTGCGCAAAAAAAATTGTGGAATACTTTAAAAACAATGTTCCTCAACGTCAAATTGCAAAGGCTTTGAAGGTCTCATCCTCGACAGTGCATAACATCATCAAAAGATTCAGAGAAACTGGAAAAATTTCTGTGCGTAAGGGGCAAGGCCGAAGACCTTTACTGGATGCCCGTGATCTTCGGGCCCTCAGACGCCACTGCATCACTCACCGGCATGATTCTGTGAGTGACATTACTAAATGGGCCGAGGGATACTTCAAGAAACCACTGTCTGTAAACACATTCTGCCGTGCCATCCACAGATGCCACCTAAAACTCTATCATGCAAAAAGGAAGCCATTGTTGAGCTTGATCCAGAAGCACTGCCGTGTTCTGTGGGCCAAGGCTCATTTAAAATGGACTGTAGC